ATCCTAACTGTGAATATGCTCTTGCGTTTCATTTATTTGCTACAGGGAATAAGAGAACCCAAGTTGGGAAAAAAGGGAAAAATAATTTGGCAAACAAATTATTTGATCAGCACATTAAAACCATTGCAGATTACTGCCCTTTACTAGAACTGTTTATCGCTGTGTGTTTTTCCATGAATCATTTCAGCAATAATGACCAAAAAGATATGCTTTTGTTCAAATCACACACAATAGGATTACATGTGATCTGACCTTCCATGTGTTAATTAAAGACAAAGCTCTGCTTTCAGCTCGTTATTGCTCTTATAGACAGAACAGTGAGTTTATAATGTTTAGTATATTGCCTTTTTACCTTTGTGGAATTGTGTGGAATAGCTTCTGATGTATATGCATGCATCAGGGCATAAATGTATTTTATCATTACTTTAAAGTATGAAGAGCAACCAATCAGAGGGGAAAAAAAGAAAAACCCCAAAATAAAAAATAAAAAACCTATGCTATTGTGTATTAATTAGGGCTGTCAAGCGACTAAAAAGATTAATCGCGATTAATCATGAGATTAAAAAAATTAATCACAATTGCCATTTTAATCATACTGTTAAACAATAGAATACCATTTAAATATTTTTGATGTTTTCTATATTTTCAAATATATTGATTTCAATTACAACACAGAATACAAAGTGTACACTGTTCACTATATATTATTTTATTACAAATATTTGCACTTCAAAAAACAAAAGAAACAGTATTTCAATTCACCTTGTACAAGTACTGTTGTGCAAGCACTTTATTATGAAAGTTCAACTTACAAATGTAGAATTTTTATTTATTTTTTTAACATAACTCACTCAAAAATAAAATAATGTAAAACTTTAGAGCCTGCATATCCACTCAGTCCTTGCTGTGGATATGGAAAGATTTTACCTCAGGATTTTAGAATTCAGTAGGAGAGTGAATTGTGCAAGAGGCTTTTTTTCCCCCTGCTGCTGCTGGGTTAGCCTTTATTATGTATGCGTCTCCTTTAGAAGAGTCTTGGCTTATTGAAGGGATAAGATTTTTTTAATCTCAGAAAGTCAGTATTCTGGAAATGGGAGGGGTGTTGTGCAGGAGAAGGGTGAATTCTTGATGCTGCTCCTGTTGGGCTGGGTTTCTGAGCTCACAGCTCACCTCCTGTCCAAAGAGGAAGACAGTTTCATCTTAGAAATCTGCATTCAGTGTTCAGGGATCATTAGCAAGCAATGACTTGTGCAGGAGGAGAGTCCAGGAGGACAGGGGTGACTACAAGGATGGGCGGGGGGAGGGAGGGGAAGCAAGCAATGTTTTGTGCAGAAGGAGGAGGAGGGAAGTGTCTTGCTGCTGCTAGGAGGGTGGTTTCTGGTACTGGGCTCACCAGGCTTGCCTCCTTTTACTGAGCTAGGTGGGCTTCCTTCAGTTGAGTTAGTACTTGTTTGCAAGGGAGGGTGGATTTTACCTCAGGGACTCAGCATGTGGCAGGGCAGGAGAGGCTGGTGGAGGGAGGCTGAGCTCACCGGGCCCCTGTTCTCTATGGGGGACCCCCCAGATTGAGGAGCTGTATGGGAGCAATGGGGCATGGTGGGGTCAGGATCCCTATCTCTCCACTGGAGCCAGGATAGGAGCCACTTCCTTTTCTCTCCTCTTCCTGCCCTCTGGAGGCATCTTGGGTTACTGCGCCTGTTCTGACACTGTTAGGTCCCTCTGCAGCCAATGCCTCCCTTCCCACACAGAGATATCTGATTAACGCCATTAAAAAAATTAACATGTTAATTTTGTTTTCAGTTATTCGTAGGCAATAACTGCGATTAATTGACAGCCCTAGTATTAATTCATGACAGTTGTGCTAGATTGGAATTAAGAGAAATGTATGAGCCTTCAGTTTCCAGCCTAAATATATGAATGAGAAATACCAATAATGCTCAGTAAGAAAAACAAGGAATCATTACATTAAGGAGTCCTCTGAGAGCATGATTCTGTACCCAATGGGAGCAAGATTGGGCCTTCAGTGCGACTTATGTACAGCATTTTTTAAAAGTAAAAATTAATTAAAAGCATTATAAATTGTATTCTGGTTTTATATAGCCACAGAGAGAAAATTTGTGAAATAAACAATTTAAAAAAATATTTTAAATTTATCTCACCAGCCAGATCTGAATATGCTTCTAGACATTATTTTATCTCATGGATACAAATGGGTATCTGCAGATATTTTGAGGAGGAGGGAAATACCCTTTGCTTCATTCTACTTAGTTCTGCCAAAAGAGTGTTCCAGATTGTCACCCAGAGTGTAATCCACACCACCAAATAACTACCAGATTACTAGGAAATGTGCCCAGTTTGGGATAATGACTATCAAATTTCAAACTTTGGCAGCAAAATATACACATAATAGTTATACAACATGAGCAAATACTTTTGTTTCTTTTTTTGTTTTTAAGGAAACTGCCAACTAAAACTAGCTATCATGCTAGAGTAATCCAGTGGGAACAGAATTCACTTACAATTAAAAACCAAATGAGTAAAAAGAGTCATTTTGAGCTCTGGCCAACATACTGTTCTTCATACAGTCAGAGCAATTAGAATGGAAAAACTGCTAATGGTACAAAGTTAAAATGTAAGATGTTTTACCAAATTTGGAGGGCAAACCAGGAAAATACCAAGTAGTCACTACTCCTTCCAACTTCAGTGGAAGGAAAGGATGCTCAGCAACTTTCAGGATGCATTTAGCATCATGCAGAATCTGGACTCTTGTTTATTTGTCTGCTTTTTGCAGCATGGTGATTAAAGATAGCAAGGGTTCTGTATTCCACTTACAACTAAAGTTTTCTTACTGGGAGGATGGCATCCATTAAAGCTTGATATCCAGGGCAACTAAGCCCTGCCTTCCCCTCCCCCACTTTACAGCTGGAATCCTGAACAAAATGAGCACAGACCAGGTAAGACAAGGGAAACCAAGGACTATTTACCAATATCCTCTGTAAAGTCACAACTCTTTTCTCCATTCTTGTATTTTCCTTACATCTGTGCTTCAAACATGAATAACAGGGTACAAATACTCTTAATTATTTATTTCAAAATGGTAACAAATATTCCTTACTATTTAAAATATGTGAGCTTTAAATAAGTCACACTTTTCAATTAACATGTAATCAAGTTACATGGGGGGAGATGTGATAGTTCTCAGGGTATCCAGGACTGAGAGTCACCTTGTTACTTCCTGCCCTCCAGCAAAAGGGAGTCTTGCCTGTGGTAGCAGGGTGGTAGGTCCCTAACACCACCAGCCTGTGAGCCTCTCAAGCACTCTCCTCTGGGCTATGCCAGCCTGCTTTTGCCTTGCAGATTTACAATAGGTGAACCCCACTCCCCAAAGTCCCTTGAAGTGTTCTCCTGTGATATGCAGCCCCTTGAGACTGGCTGCTCTCAGGAATTCCCAATCCTCTACTCCCAAAGGAGTATGGTACCCCTGTTTACCAGTTTTACCTTAGGTCACCACTCCTGTATAATGCACAGCACTTATCAGCAGTTATAATACAAAAGTAGGTTTATTTACGAAACAGAAACTCCACTAGAAATGAGAGAGTGAAGGAAAGAAATGGTTAAAATACAAAACAAAAATCATAAAATGTAAACTAGGGCTTATATTTATTAATAGTTATCTTTCCTATCTAATAAAATAGGTTCTCTCTCCAAAGGTTCAGTCCAGGGATCGGCAACCTTTGGCACGCGGCCCGCCAAGGGATGTGCTGGCCGCCGCTTCCCGCCGCCCCCATTGGCCTGGAGCGGCGAACCCCGGAAAAGTGGGAGCCGCGATCGGCCGAACCTGCAGATGCGGCAGGTAAACAAACCAGCCCGGCCCTCCAGGGTGCTTACCCTGGTGCGCCACATACCAAAGGCTGCCGATCCTTGGTTCAGTCTGTTGCAAAGCTGGCGGTTTTCTCAGGAACCAGAATCCAATTTTTCATGAAAAACCACCGTTCAACAAGATGTCTCCTCAGCGAATGGATGCAGTGTCCTTCTCCCCGGATATACTGCAGCTGTCTTTTGTCTTTATTCCTAGACAGGGCAATCCCCTGACTGTTATAATGTTCCCTTTTCACCTCCAAGTGGTTTTAAAGTTTATAGTTTATCTTTGATGGTTTTCCATTGACTTTTCTCTGTTGTATTGCTCAATTGCCTACCACTGCAACATTACATAAACAGCTAGGCAGGGAGGAGTGTAAATCCCTCCTGCTTGAATTGGCCAGCACAGAGACACATGATTCCTCTGGGTCCAAGGAGACAAGAACAGTTTTCTACTGAAAGTTGAGAAGCAGACTACAGTAAAACTAATTGCCAGATCCTACACCAGTAGAAAAACGGGGGATTTACCATTGTCTTCAGTGGATGCAGAATCAAGCTCCTCATCGTGAATTTGGCTATTTTATTCTAGGACCAATCATAAAAACACTTATGCAACTGAATAGTCCCAATAAAGGTATTTGCAGGACTAAGTCCCTGGTTCAATCATTAAAATAAATGTAATGAATTCAGTCAGCTTTTGTATTATAAAAACATAGTTAATTGCATGTGAAAATATATACTTTTTCAGTATGTTATAAAATTCAAATTTGTAATGGGAAAATCCTTTCAACTTTCTCATCATCCACATCTCAGAATTCAAAAATCCAGCCGTACCATTAAAATGCCCTCGCTCACCCTCCCCCCACCAAGGGACAGAATCCCTTTATTTTAATATAACCTTTACACGTTCTATGAATTGGTATTTTGATATTTCAGGTATGTTCAATCACAATCCATTTCTTCATGTTAGAGTGATATTCTGGAATATGTGCAGTTTAATCTCTAAATATGCTGCAACAACAATGTTTTAAGTCTTCTAAGACACTGGTTCCCAATGAATGCACTGCATCTACGACACCTCCTCATGCCAGTGCTTTGCAAAAGATTCATGAACAAAAAAAACAAACAAACCAAATACTTACCAGACGCCTGGCAAATTCTTTGTTTTCTGAAAGAAATCCATATCCTGGGTGGACCTTTGAAAATAAAAACCAAGATGAGTTTTAAAATTTATCAGATTTCAAAGACTAGAAATCAATACACAGACAGTTAGGCATGTCAAGGTGAGACAGTGTCTCACTGATTATTATTTAAATTAGCTTAACATTTCAAGATTGTTTGTCCTCAGCATAGGTTAAGTGATTTGGCCCTCCCAAATCAAATCTGCTAACATGCATTGTCTGAACTGGCTTTTCTGGAAGCATCACTTCTTGCCTGTGACAGAAGGGAGGCACTGTCTCCAGAGGCACAGAGATGATCTTTTTTGTTTCTTTCTTTGCCACACTTCTCTGACTACAGATATCTTAACATGTATCCTCAACCATACCCTTTCTATTCCTCTCTAACCACCCGCCCCATCTATTCCCTCCCAAAATTGTTCTAGCACAGTGGTTCTCAACTTGTGCACTGGTGACCCTTTTCACATAGCAAGCCTCTGAGTGCAACCCCCCTTGTAAATTAAAAACACATTTTTATATATTTAACACCATTATAAATGCTGGAGGAAAAGCAGGGTTTGGAGTGGCAGCTGACAGCTCGTGACCCCCCATGTAATAACCTCACGACCCCCTGAGGGGTCCCGACCCCCAGTTGAGAACCCCTGTTCTAGCATAAGATGTTAACAGTAGTTCTAGTGTTTACCATTAAAAGTTCTACTACCTTGAATGCTCCCAGCATTGCTAGTGATCAATGGAATAACGTCCTCTGCTTTTGCAGCAGGGACGAAAGTAATATGAGTTCAGATCAAAATTACGTACCCCCACATGCTATCCCCACTTTAATATAAATTCTGCATAATTACACAAAAACAGCACTGTTTTTAATTTTATATAAACAGTCAACTAAAGAAACATTCTGACAGACTAAAGATTAAAGAATAAACTATTCTTATCTGCATTGTGTCTTAAACAGTGTAAGCATCTGTACTATTTGTAAATTCGATTTCAAGGGGGGTTTTGTTTTGTTTTGTTTGCAAGCACCATACTGAAAGACATTTATTTCAAAAGAAATGATAATGTTAACTGAGCCACTCCAGGGTAATTATTGGTGTTGACCGATTCTATCCAAATTTTATTTAAAGATGTTTTTGTACATAGTAATGCATTTAATTCACTGGTACCACAGCAAAAAGCATTATTTCAATCAGTTATATGTATGTTTGTTTTTCCAATATAATCCCTGTTAAACTTTGGATCTCTGGCCCATTGGGACAGGAGGGGGGCAGACAACAGCAGCCGTATTTACCCATCTATGCTAATGTGCATTTTGTGGAACATTATGAAACAACAAAAATAATTACTGGATGCACCATTTACCTTTTTTGCAAGCGTAATTATGTGTGTAATTTTAAAAACGATTAAAACTGAATTTAAACAAGAGCCTTTTTTGGACACACTTTATAAAAACATCGAAAAAAGCTGTTATGGCATGGAAAGGGTTAGTGCTCAAAACTAATTGGGTTTTTTTTTCCCAAGCAAATTTGGGAATGAACTGAAGCTGCTCCCTGGTGTGAAAGCTGAATCCAGCAGCCACCTGCAGGATCAGCGACCAGAACTGCCAGATGCTACAAAGCCTTTGATTTCCAGTAGCGATTTCGGCCACATTTAACTCATGTGACATGAACTAACTGGAATAGCATATTCAATCACTTTTTTTTTTTTTAAATTACAAACTCTGGCTTTTCTGCTTTCTATATATGAAACAGCTGCAGCAGATAGACTCATTCAGACTCACAGCTTGGGCCCTGGTTTTCTTAATGGCTTCCATGATGGCATCCATGTTGAGGTAGCTTTTGCTGGTGGGAGCTGGGCCAACACAGACAGCCTCATCCGCCATTTTCACATGAACCTGAAGAGGCAAAATTCTGCATTAACAGATGCTCCCAGCAAAAATAATTACCACCACCCTGAAATATGCACACAAATCTGATTGCTTCAAAGATAATTAACATACCATAGCCACTTCTAAAATGTGCACTGAAATTAAACATCAATGTACAAGAACTCAAAGTAACATTAAATCGCATTTCATTTGCTCCAAGCTTAAGTCAGTCAAAATGTTTTATTATTTCAATATATACTTTATATTTGATTAAATAAAATTATGACAAATATAATTTCAGCTTCCTGTACTGATCATCTATATGTAAATTCGCAGCCTAAAACTACTTTGTTACATGTAACCAGGGTAGCCTAATATCTTAATACTTAACAACAAACATTCATGGCCAGTTCTAAGCAGGCTCCCCAGGAAGTTGGGGATAATTAGAGTGAATTGAATGAAGGGATGCAGTGAGTGTCCCTGCACAGCATCAGGTCAGCACCATGCACAAATTAAAGCCTATGACTAAAGAGTTCAATATCACTACACGTGAACCAGAAAATCTTGAAAATTATTTAAGCAGGCTCACATTTGATTCCTGATCCACTGTATCCTTATTCACATGTGCAATTGTCAAATACATTTTTCAGTCAAATCTTAACATACAAAAGTCTAAGAAAGTTTTCCCCACATTTTATAGGAATAATTAAATAGAAATGTTTTGGAGAAATTTAAGTGGATCATCTGCATAACACACTGGGTTGTTTTCGTTCGTTTGGGAGAGACGGGGAGAGAAGTTACAAAACTGCAATTAAGCAGTGATCTTTGCATTGGTTTGGGAGTGCCAAGGAGATTTTTAAATACATATATGTATTTTTTTTAAAAGAAAATATTTGATAAATGAGAAACATTTAATTGCAATTTGCAAAATGGTTAAAATATGTTTTTTTTTTTAAGTCAGTGTCTATGTTAACATATCAGTTTTGGCATTCCAGCATTAGTACAAATCCAACACACGTGAAGGCCTGTTTGTTATTTCTTCCAGGTAATATTTTAAAAATACCACAGCCAAAATGTTTTTTTTAAATTAACACATTACAGTTAGCTGTTGGACACTGGCATTAAAATACATGAAAGTAAGTAGCAAGATTTAGAATACTTTCATTTCCTTGATTTATTTTCTTTTAGGAATCTTACTCCAATAGCATGATAATTTTATATTGTAAATAGAATATGAAGTTGTCAATTCACATGTGTGACATATAAAAACAGTTTGCTTTTCATGTGGCCTCTGCATACTACAGGATTATTCAAGGAAAAAGATGGTAGAGAAATGCACACAGACATGAAGATATATATAAAACAACAAAAGAGGCAGCCAAAAATATATTAATGGCACAATATTTTGCTTGAGAAGCTAACATTCTGGAAGACGTGGTAAAAACATTTCTAGCAGAAGCACAATTCCCTGATATAACAGGGGCGTTTGTTCTGAACCTGAGTTTTGTTTCTCATTTTTAGTCAGGCTTTTAAGAATTAGTTCGGAGAATTAAACCCTAATTCCCAGACTCAACACGGTGTTTAAATTCATGCTTAATTTTAAGCATATTATTTATCCCATTGTAATTAGTGGGGCTAATCACATGCTTAAAATTAGGCATGCACTTAAATACTTCCCTGAATCAGACTCTACAAACACACGTTACTTTCTGGAATCTCTAATCTACCACATGTGAACTATCACAGCTTCTGACAAATACTCAGGTTTCACTATGCAGCTATTCAACTACACCTATTTTAAAAAAAAAAAAAAAAAAAAGTCTTTATGCAGGAGATTTTAATAATGTCTATTTGAACACACAGAAAACAATTCTTAGATTGTAATAAACGATTTTGAACAAACATTGCCAAAGTTAACTTATGCACTAGCTTTCATTAAGCACTAAGAGCAAGAACATTTTAAGGTCCAAAACCTGCACGCATCCTTACCATAGAATCATAGACTGGAAGGTACCTTAATAGGTCATTTAGTCCAGTCCCCTGCACTGAGGTAGGGCTAAGTGCTATCTAGTCCATCCATGACAGGTGTTTGTCTAAACCTGTTCTTAAAATTTCCAATGACTGGGATTCCACCGCCTCGCTTGGTAATTTGTTCCAATGCTTAACTATTATTACAGTTAGGAACTTTTTACTAATGTCTAATCTACAACTTTCTTGCTGAAATTTAAGTCCATTACTTCTTATCCTGTCCTCAGTGGAGAAGGAGAACAATTTATCACCCTTCTCTTTACAACAACCTTTTAGATATTTTAAGATGTTATAATGTGCCACCTCGGTCTTTTCTTCTATTCTCCAAACTAAACAAACCCAATTTTTTTCCCCACTCTTTCCTCATAGGTCTTGCTTTCTAGACTTTTAATCATTTTTGTTTTTCTCTCTGGATTGTCTCCAATTTATCCACCTCCTTCCCCACTGTGTGGTGCCCAGAACTGGACGTATTACTTTAGTTGTGGCCTGATCAGTGCTGAATAGAGTGGATGAATTACTTCTCGCATCTTCCTTCCTTCCTCTTGCGAATACATCCCAGAATGATGCTTGTTTCTTTTGCAATAGTATCATATTTTTGACTTGTATTTATTTTGTGATCCGCTATAACCCCCAGATCCTTTTTCTGAAGTACTCCTTCCTAGGCAGTCATTTCCATTTTGTATATGTGCAATTGATTATTCCTTCCTAAGTGCAATATTTTGCATTTATCCTTATTGAACTTCATTCTATTTATTTCTGACCACTTCTCCAGTTTGTCAATGCTTAAAACTTCAAGCACATAAGTAATCTTACTGACTTAAATGGGACTATTCAGGTGAGTGAAGTTAAGCAGGTAAATGTTGGCAGGATCGAGGCCTTCCTTACAGTAGCATATAATCTTAGGACAAAAAGTTAGACAACCATTTTTTGAGTACCAAAAGAAACACACAAAAGTGATACAGAGCCTCAAACACAGAACTGCATTCATTAGAAGTATTGTGAACTGAGTCAAAAGTGATATTTCTGTGTTTGTTTCTCCTTTTTCTTCTCTCTCCCCTTTTTCGCTCTCTCTCCTCCCTTAGCATTCCCTGCTCACTTCCTTTCCCTCCTCCCCTTTGTTTTCTGGTTGTTTCTCTTCTCCTTCCACCTCCCCCAAATTTTCCCTAATTGCTGGCATCTTCCCCATCTCTTGCTCATAGTTCAGCATAATTTCAGTCCTCCCCCTCTTTTGCTCTACCTCATGTGTAGGCATAGCAAAAAAGTAGAACTGACAACATCCTTTATTAGTTTCAGTTTGCCTGTTCTGCTCTGGCATGGCGCACAAAGCACAGACTCTCTGCATGTCAAGCCAAAGAGCTTTTCATGCCACCCTCTGGCATGAATGGCAGCATTTGTTGACTTTAATGGCAGCCGCTTGAGTAATTGAAGGAATGTGGCAGGGGCATGAACCTTTTGTATATCTGATTATTTACTGGCTCTCGTGATCCAACTTTAAAGACCAATTTCATTACTAGCACTCGTGTGTCATCCCTCTATTACACCAATACCTGTTAGAGCCGGCATTTTACTTATTATGTAACACACTGGATCACGAGTATGTTCATGTACTGTACCATGAATGAATTACATAACTTATAACAAGTTTTACTGAAATATGATGGTAATATCTAAACCATACAGAGTACCCACAATTACAGGTAACTATTACAAAGTAATTACGGGTAACTATTACAAAGCCATTATTTGTATCTACATTACAATATCACCTTTCAAGTTACCACACAATGATGAGCAAAGACATGCACAGTAACACTGCAAGCTCCCTTCTCTGAAGAAACCAGAAACATACATGCAGATTTTTTACATTTCTTGAAGAATCCAATACATTTCTCTTTGTAAGCATTGTGAACTTCAGCAGTCTCTGCTGAAATTCAACTTGCTTTAGCTTGTCAGTTATAAATGCCTATATTGAGAGTGTGTGTGTGTTTGTTTTTTTAATTTAGCCATAACAACTTATTCCAGGCTAAACTTTGCAAGGGAGTAACTGTTTCCCTTCATTTACTTTCAAATGAAAAAAAAATGGTTCTTAAACAACTGTTGAAACTGTTTGGACTTTGATTAGTTTAAATCATTAGAACATCAGTTTAAACTCAGCTCTACACGTAGACAGTACCAATGAGTGGAAGAATGTGTGTTTTTGAGGTGCCTGACGGTTTCTGCTCTAAACTTTAATAATGTTGCGCTATCCTCCCTCCGAAGTATGTATTTCAAAATAGATACAAGGTCCTAAGAGAAGGAGTGAAGAAAAAAACAAAAACCAAAAAAAACATGAAAATGACACTTCACCAAGTCATGTCTTACACCTACGTACAAGCTGCTTATATTCTCCAAAATTAACATATCTAGAACACATTTCATAATGACTAGATATTTCGTGTCATGGTTGGCATAAGACACTAGAGTTTCTTCAAAAGGGTAGCTAAAAGATCTAGCAACATGTGATATCACACATCTTTCAGCTAAATCAGATTTAAAGGCAAAGTTTAGCAATCTGCAACACCGTGTGGGTTTGTGATACTCTTGTGAGTATGGATCCATAAATCAATCAATCAATCAGATTATACTCATCCACAGCATTATTTCTTCCCAATCCCCACATCCATGACAAATCCATTATGGAAAATAGTCTATATTTAATTAGTAGTTCAACCACAAGAGAAGTTAAATTATTTAGGCATAATCATTCTATTTAAATTTTTTTGAATTAAGTATCCAAGAAACATCCGAAAGGAAAATGCTTAAACAAATCTTAAGGTAAGACTGTAGCACTGTGACATGAATAGGACCCTACCAAATTCATGGCCATTAAAAAATGCGTCACAGACTGTGAACACCCTGCCAGCAGCAGCGCAGAAGTAAGAGTGGCAATACCATACCATGCCACCCTTACTTCTGCACTGCTGCCTTCAGAGGTGGGTGGCTGGACAGTGGCGATTGCT